ATAAGATCGAGAATCCCAATAAAATTTGAGAAATTTCGAGTATATCCCATTTCATCTCGGCAAAACACTTTTATGGCATACGGGCATTTTTCACGTAAACCGTCTCACCTGGAGTTGGAAAAACGTAAAAAATCTTCCTGTCTCTTCAGGGGCTTCAAGCTAACCTTAAATCTCGCGCGCATATTTCAACGTTTTACCACGAGCATCGCAGAATAGACAGATAATATTATAATGTAGTTGCTCGCGGTGCCCTCAAAGAAAGGAGGTTTTCGACTGCGAAAAGCGAGTAACTGATCTGGCCCCGTGATAGCCATACACACCGGCCCTTTACATTATAATGCGGAGACGCGGCAAGTATGTGCAGCTTTATGTGTATTTGCTCATGAGCTACTTTCCAGCAGCCGCGATAGACATCTTAATATTCACTACCTCGTCGCTTATTAACTCGCCGTGTACATTCGCGCCGAACATTTTTGACAAGCGCGACCCTTTTTCGTCATTAACGTGTGCAAAGTCGGCGCAATAATTTTTGCACGCGAATCTCCGTCGAGATAACGAATCTGGCCGAAGAGAGTTAGAGGGCAGGCCAGTTTCCTCTTGAGCTGCCGCGTTTTCAAGCAGATCCCTCGTCTGTTACTATTTAAATTATAAAAGAGAGAAAAAAAAATTAGCAAGACTTCTCTTTTGGTTTTGGCTAAGGTTGTTACTTAGCAGTAGATTTAATCTGGGCTCGTCTCTATCCATCTGGTTTTTACAGACAACAGAGGGAAGAAGACATAAAATAACTAGAAATAATTTATGAGGGAAATTTACCGTGGATTCAGAAACTGAGCCTGGAAAGAAGAAAATGCTCTGAAAACGGATTTAAATGTAACAATTTCAACAACTCTTTTTATTTAAGAAATCTAAATTCTTTTAAAGCAGATAAATAGAGATAAAATTACCGTTTTTCCCAAATTAATTTCTTTGAAATTTCAGAACATTAGTTTCCTTGCTTATTGTTCCACATTAAATTTCTTTGAAGAAGTTGAGAAATTTAAAACAGAAAATTGAATTAACAATGATTATCAAAAACTTTTTTTATAATATTTAAGAGCGAACACTTCCTTTGACAAAATTTATGTGCCAAAATTTAGTAATTTTAAAAATTAATCAGCTGTAGACCTGCCAAAAGAGAATATTAGTTTCTTAAAACTTATAAATAAAATAAGTTATTAAATTATAATTTGCCAAAAAAATTAAATTTTTTAACTTATCAAGGGGAAATATTTTGTTGAGCAGAATTTAAAAGCTGTTTGGCGCAGCAGTTTTGCCTCGCGAGCAAGAAGTACTGCCGAGGCGCGCTGGAGAGTCCATAAAAGCATAATACGGTGCGCAAACAACAAAACGACCCGGGAATGGAATCATGCATGTGTGCGCGCTGCATTATTTTATTTCGCCTCGCAGCGTGCATGTTATTAATTCCCAGCCGCAGCGACTTTTCGAAATGCAAACACCTCGATCTCGCTCTCGCTGGAAATCACGTTCTCATTTATTTTTCATACCTCCCACGGTCGGTTTACCTCTCGGAGGTGTGCACGTTAATAAAATGGCCTGCGCTGCACGCGGCGAATAATTGCAAGATGCACTCACTCCCCGCGAGAGACGTTGATTTATCGCTTGTGATTACTCAATTAAACTCTGCTCTTGAGACTGACTGACTTGCCTCGTCTGCGGAATTGCGTGCCGCGCGTTGTTTTATGCACAAAAGGAGAATCTGCAGCTATTTATATTGCAGCGGCACTTTGTCAAAGAAAGGGAAATTAACATGTAAAGATGTTACAGTCAAAGTTGAAAAAAGATAATTAACAGAGAGTTCAGCTAAAAAATAGGACGCAGAAAAATACCTAAAAATTTAATATTTAATTAAAAAAAATAAAATTACCAAAATTGCAGATTTTTTACTTTTCATTTATTAAATGTATAAATTTATGTTCCAAGAGAAAAAAAAATGGATTATGTAGGTACTTTTGATATAATTTCCCATTGAATCAATTTATTGTCTCTCAATTAAATATTTCCTCTCTGATCATCAGTTAATAAGAAAATTACTGGCCGTCCTTCGTTCCTTCCTCGCTCTTTCCATGTTTTGTTATGATTTATTCGAAAATTGAAATTATTCAATCGCTGCCTTTTTCCCATAGCCGAGTCGTGCAGCCAAAGCTGCTCAAGAAAAACACACACACACAATATTTAGATATATTTCAAAGCCCACGACCGACGGACCGAACCTGAGCTGAAACAATAATGTGGCTGACGTGCATGGCTGTAAGAAGGAATAAAGAGATTTCTCTCTTATTCTGAAAAGGCGAGCTCGCCCTGAGAGGCTAGGGCCCGCCTCCCAGGGGTCACCCGACCGAGGTTAAGGTCGTGCCGCCTCCCCCACTGCACCCCCTGCAGACGTCCCAGTCGAGTCGTGATGCTCTTCAGGCATCTGCTGGAATTGTTTGATTTCTTCATTAACATTTGATGTTCGGATTGCTCTTCTTAAATTTTTGTTTCAATTAGTAAAACTTGATATAAACCGAAATCAGAAAATATTTTACTTTTTTCTTTGAAGTAGTTAATTTTCTATTTAAAAATTTGAAAAAATAGAGTCTCATAATTATACCAATAAATTACCTAAAATTTATTAAATTTATAATCAATAATGGTGACTTGTGGTAATTTAGAGAAATTGTGTAGCAAAAAAATAAATAAATATTTTCAAACTTACCACTAAAATATTTTTCGTTAAGAGATTTAGAGATTTTCAATGTGACTGCCTTTTATGGACTCTGATGGCCCATTAGAATCAGATATGCAACAGGAACGGTCCAAAAACCGCCCATCATTGTATATAAAATTGCAAATCGTAATAACCGAAACTGACGCAAATTGAGGCCCATTGTGTTTTTTCCTCGTAATTAAAAAGTCAAAGGCGGGCCGTCGCCTCGTCTATCGGTGAAATTCACTCGCGGCTCGCTCTCAGGGCGCAAACTAATCAGCAATGCTGATGAAAGGGCTGGGCCTGATCAGGGAATTAACAGCAAAAACTGGTTTGCTCTTTAACATCGGCTCGACCGAGCACAAAACTAAAATGAATATGTACGCCGCGTACACTTATATACTCCCAACAGCCCGTGGTGAGCGAACGAAAAAGGATTTTAGGCGGAATACATTATTATTTTCACCGCTTTATCGCTGCTAGCCAAGACGGATGGCTCTATTTCACATACCCAATCACGCCCGAAATCGTCAGCGACGCATTTCCGTCAAGGTTCGCAGTAATGGGTTTTTTTCTCAGAAAGCTTTAATAGCATAACCTCTAGAAAGGTTTTTAAAATAGTGCACAAAAAATGCATAAAATGTGCAAAACACGAAAGTATGCAACCTGCGTCGCACCCGCGTTGAACAGGCTGCAGCAGCACGAAATCTCCCTGTTTTGAGGGGGCCACAAATAGGACGTTGACAAAATCTGCCACCTGGAATTTAAGAAAATAGAAAAAGATAAAAACTTTAAATTTTGTATAAAAAATTTAAAGTTTTTAAAACTTTTAAAGAATAATTTATTGCGCAATTCATTTTTTTTTTAATTTCATAATTATTATTTTAAATTTTTATATTTTTATTAATCATTTTTATCAAACCTTTTCTAATAAAACTATTTTTTTTTTGCATTGTGCATATCATTGATTGACAATGCTTTAGTTCCTTCGTTGTTTTTTAATAAATAATTATATTTATTTATTAATTCTTTCTCAAGATATCTCTGGCAGTTTATCTTGAAAGAAATTAAATTTAAACTTTTGTGAGGACGTGGCTTATAATCACAATATTATTTTATTTTTCACCTATTTGACATGCAATTAGCTTTAATCAAGTCAATTAAGCACATCTTTCAGAAAAAAACTTTTCAAGCATTGTAGACTCCAAAATTAAAGAAAACTTCTATTTTCAATTGAAAACTTGTTCTTACAAATAATCGCAAATAATTTTAGATTATTAAATTAAATTTAGTAGTAATATCTCCGTCCTTATGAAATTGCATGTAATATTTAAATTCAGCACCTTAATTTTGTGTGAATACCATTTAGTTAAATTTATTGACGGATTTTTCAAATAAATAAAATTATATCGAAATTTAAAAAAGCCTTTGTGCTTTTCCTTCATAATAATGTCATTGTTCATTAATGACTCTATAAAGAAGGAATTCTATGATTAACAATTAAAGAGATCACATGTGTTTGTATCAAAATGCGAAATTACATCACATTACAAGGAGTGAGAGGAAAAACTCGATTTAATTATTTATTCCATCAGGTGTTCGGCGCTGCAGCAAAAAGCGTGCGCGGCAGCCTTTAATTAAACTATCAGCATCGGCCGCGCGGAGATTGCTGCTTTTTGCGCGAGTGCACCGACAGCCTCTGCTCTTTTTGTGCGCGATAGATAATTAAGGGCCCACGCTGCGCCCGCCGAAGCCGTTGTTGTTGTTCGCTCGCACCGTCGCGGCGCCGCTGCTCGCGGACACTTTAATTCCCGAGAGCTCTCTGTGTTTGAAAAGCGCCGATTCACTTAACAATCGCCGGGCGAATGAGCGACGAGACTGACGAGAGAGAAGAAGAAGAAAAAAGAACCACCTGCGTGCACTCGCTCATTAGAGTCATCATCCGTTGTTGAACCTTTGATTAGCGCGTCACGTGACCTTTAAGGCGCAGAGGTGGCCAAATGAAGACGTTTTCACTGCCCACGGCGACGATTACCATTACAGCATTATTGAACATGCGAAATTGCATGTTGGCCCAAAAGAAATTTTTTATTCCATTTTCTTGCTTCAAGAGCAATAAAATATTAAGATTCACATTTTATGTTTATCTACATTTTTTATATTTAATTTTTATATTTCATTAAAATTTTAATTTAGTCTATTTATATGTTTATCCCTGTTAAATTCTAATGTCTTGTTTTTGTTTTGTTCGCAGGAAATGTCTTTGACAATCGGTGTTGAAGTGCGTTAAGGGTCCCTTTTGGGCCCGAAGTGATGCAGCAGAGAAGAGCAACCCTTATTTTTAGTGAAGTGGATGACGGCCCAGCTGGACTCATTTCTGCTGCGAATGGAGCCTTCTCATTTCGGTAATTATTTTTCTTTGCCTTTCATCCGCCTTTTGAAATAAGAATATGTAGAAATCGTGGCATGTGCGCATCTAATTAATCAGAAACTTGACACTGAGTGTTAAGTGTTGAAAAATTCGGACAAATTATTATTAGCGCAGGCCGCGGATAAAAGAAACGTTATATTTACGCTAAGTTGACACGTGGCGTCAAAACACGCGGACGAATTATTCTCTAAAGCGAGAGAGCGCTGGGGTGCGATAAAATGAAATAGCAGCGGCAGCGACAAATAATTATTTCGGTGAAGCGTCGGCGCGGCTCATAAAACACCCGTCCAGTTAGCGCCTTAAAAATAGCACGCCTTCTCACAAACTTTACGAGTATCACTACAAGATGCTTTTGGCTCAATTTTTGCCGCAGAACACGCACCACCACACAACAGCCAAAAATTCCACACCGCATTGAAGAGAATTTCTAAAACATAAATCTCATGAAATATTCAAACTGATTTGAAAATTTTGTACATTCTTTTATTCAAAATTAATTCTGTTTAACAAAATTATTCAAATTCTATGTCTGAAAATTATTGACAGTAATTCCTATTTAAAAAAAGTCAGTAAACTTATTTATTAATTGCTACAAAATATTTGATTGTATTTGATTCCAAAAATTAAGTTTTGATGGAATTGAATAATTAATAAAGCTCCGATTAGCTTTCAAAGGCTCGCCAAGATAAAAATAATCAACTCAATTCTCACCGACTAATTTGCGTTTAATTTTATATGAGAGAGTTTCTTTATTTATTGCAGCCTCTGTTTTCTTTCAATTCTTTTTAAATCCGCTATCCTTTTGGCCGATCTGGCGAGCACGGTGGCGCTGGCCTCTTGCGGCACAGCGTCATTTTCTCCACTCTTAATTGAGTGTTGTGTTAATTAAAAAGTACAAGGCCGTTGATTAAGTCTTAAAATACATCGCCAGCGGAATAAAGCAGCCAGAAACAAGGACCAGTCTCTTCTCACACTCACTCTGCGCAGATGAAAAAGTCCATGTGCCACGAATAATAATTACGAAAAAAAATATACATCAAACCGGCTGATTAATTAAGCCGTCTGGAATGAACGAAATAAATAGTCCGAGAAGAAGAGATCGTGGCTTCTTCAAAAGTCAAGAGAGAATTTCCTGCGTGCTTGATTTTATAAAAAAAAATCTATCTGCGGCGACAGGAAGCGTTCTTTTCCAAGTCAAACAACTTGTTTATACCTGCATGGAAGATGGGAAATGAATTAATTTGGGCATTTCCTCGGGACAGGAAGTTCGTTTCATTCATTCAAGTGTGCTGAGTGAGTGCGTGTGGGGGTCATTCACTAGAGCCATTCAGCCGTTTGACCACGTGTGCACCCGATCGGGCATGTAAAGTGGGTAGGTGGTGGTGCAGGAGAGCTGATTCATATGAAAGCAAACAGGAAATTCATAGATATGTGGCTTTTAGAAAATGATATTTTGGTATCATTACATTTTTTTGGTTGCAGACTTTATCGACCAGGCCCTTCAATGAGCTTCCAGGGTTTCAATCGTTTCAATGATATAGAAACATTTGCCCCACACATGTAATGATCCAACATTACCAGTAAAAAGAACCACATTAAAAATCAAGCGATATGGAGGACATACAAAATAAAAAGCGTAAATTTAAAGACCAAAAAAATAATTGAATATCCGTCATACAATTTTAAAATTTAATTCCACGAAGTCATTCAATTTAATTTTTTTTTGTCATATTTTATAAAAAATTTAAGTTGATTTTTTTGTCATGATAATAGCAATAAACGATTATTATAAAAGACTATTTGAAATTTTCAAAATCAATTTTTAATTAAATTTATTAAAAGGAACTATTTTAATTTATTTTCGTGATTTTAGACTATGAAATACATTTTTGAGGCGATCTGTGCCTTATATTCAAATACCATACTGAAAATTTTCTGCAGTTTTAAATTAAATTCCTTTTTACTTCCAACGATGAGCCAATTTGTGTGATGATAAATCACAAACCTACTCAGCTGTTTGGTACAGCAGCATCTTCTATCTATAATTTGTTTATTTGTGTTTTTTTTTGTGCGGGGGCTGCTTCTTTTGTGGACAGGAAATGCATTAGTCTTGGTACATCAGTCAAATCGTGTCCGCCACTGAACGGAGAGTCAAATTTCATATACGCGCTGGGCACCCAAGCTGACTTAAAAAGAACCAAGAGGGCCACATGTGCCTCCATTCTTATGTAGGGTGCCACAGCCTCTTTTTGCACATGCAAAATTTTTCGATCAAGAACATGAAATTGGAAAAGAAAAACATTTGGAAATATTTTATAGTGATTAGAAAATTACTGAGCATATGAAACGTAAAACTTGTTGAAATTATTTGAAGAATTTAATTTTGCACGATTGATTTTTGGTTTGTTGATGCATGAATTTAAATTTGTCTCTTTGCTTTTAGCAAAAATGGTGCTTATTTTTTTTAATTAAAAGATTTTTTTAAATAATTGAAGTCGCTCTTTTTAAAATTCTAAAAATCACTAAATTATATAATATGAATTTGTTCACTTTAATTATTGATATTTTTATTTCGGCTTGTGTGAAAAGCTTTTCAAACGTGAAACGGCGACCGGTTCTGAGTCCATAAAACGCGCTGCTCCGCTTTGCAAATTTGGCTTTGCCGCAGTTTTCTCTCTCCCGGCATACCTGCATGCCATGTGACTTGTTGCTCTTTTTTCTGGTCGAATGGTGATTTGGGTAATTTGAGTAGCCTTCTGGTGTCGTCTTTCAAAAAACTCTCCTCCAGCCCACGCCGCGCGGCAAATAATATTTTCACGCTAATTTGCGTATGCGAAATTCTGCGACGTCATCTGCATAACGATTATTTGGGGCCGCCATCAATATGAAATTACAGCTCAATTTGCGCCGCAACCAGTTTCGCGCGTCGCTCTTAATATAGCCTGCCAAAAATTGTGCGTAGAAAACCAATTTACAGTAAATAATTGTTTATTTTTATTATTCACCAGTTTCGAAACATTGTTTATTAAGTTAAATATTTTATGTTTTAGTTTTATTTATTTTTATAATTTTATTATTTTGATTAATATATAAATCAACTTAGTTCAAATATATGGTTGTGAAGCCAACATATATGCATAAAGATTTAAAATAGAATATTTCAAAAGATATTTAATTATGCATGATTGGCTATAAAAAATTTTGTAGTTGTTATTGATACGCCTGTGTAATCAGAACTTTCTCAAGTCTGTTTGGTTTCATAAAATATTATCTGATTTATATGCTTGTCGTGAAATAATGATGTATGTAGTCCAAAATTTAAGTTAATGTACCAATAATTTTTGGTATCAAATATAGCTTAATATATAGCAGTATAATTTTTAATATCTATTTGAAAGTACTAACAAATAAACAACAATAATAATTTGTAACATATTTTCATTCGTATAAAATCCAAAATATTTCACAAAAAAGAGAAAAGTCATGCCGCGTAATCCAAAAATCATTCTCAATTCTTTCCTACTTCATTAACTTTAATTTAATGTCAGTTTAGTTAAAGATAACATTTCTTATTAATACGTCATAAAAATTAACTGTTTGCTTTTTTATCTGATTACCCAAGAATCATGCCCATTTATAAGCCCAGAAGTGCGTTTAAAAAATTATATTAGGAGAAAATCTTTAATTTTCCTGCGCCCGCATCAATTCGGCGATGATTTGCATGTGGTGCTTTAATAAAAATGTTAAAAAGATGAGCAGCAGATATATTTGCATGCGAGAGGTTGGCGGGACGGTTTCGCGAAACGCTGCATACGTGCCGAGCAGCAGCTTTTCGATGCCGAGAGAGATCAGGCCAATAAATAAAATCGCGTCCGGCGGCGGCGCGAATTTTCGATTTGCTTGGTGCTCTAGCTGCTCTCGGAAATTGATAAAATCGTTACACGCCGCGCGAGTTTTGCTTTTAATCAGCAGCAATGTCATGTCGGCCACTTTTTTATATTCACTCGCTCCTCGCTGCTTGATCGGAATAACAATAATGATAAATTAAGTGCATGTCTGCCAATAATTATATTCTCCTCTGCGCTTTTTGCACTCCCTCTCTCTCCCATATAGTGTAATACCTGTTCTCTTTCTCACACACACACACGTAACACACACGTAACACACCGTGTGCACTCTTTATTATCGTTTATGTAATGTGCATTATTTCTCTGTCGATCCGAACCGGCCGGTTGGTGCGCGGAAAAAAATTAATTGAATCGTCAGTCTCTTCTGAGAGAACGCAGAGCTCACGCTGCTCTGGAAATTAAACTTTGATGGCTTTCCTCTCATGCATTTGAGAGCTCAATGCCCTTTAATTTTGTCAAATGGATCTTTTAAAAATATCTTCAAGTAAATAATGCAAAGGATTTGCCAAGAAACTGGAAAAATTAACTAACAGAAACTGTATATTGGCTAACAATAAAAATAAAATATTTTAATTCTTTTTTAGTAAAATTAAAATTTATAATTTATCTGTTTAAATTTCTTTTATTAGATAATTTATTTTTTTTATTGTAACAATTTTTTTATTTAAAATTGAATTTTTTAATTGCAAATTTCTTTATTGCTTTAACAATGAAAATGTTTAGAAAGTTTTAAATTTGTTATTTTAATTTAATTAAAATAATTGCTTGTAACTTGCATTGTACATTTATTGTTGATAAAACTTAAAAGATACTCAGCAGCTTACTTTTTGACTGTCGACCATTCTGATTTATGTAACGAAAACTTAGTTAATGAAATCATTATTGATCCTTGCAACAAATATCAAATTATTTAGTTAAAATGCTCTGCTCACAACGGCAGTCGGGTCTTATTTCATGATGGACGTAATAGTTAGCATATTGTCTCTTTAAAGATTAGAGCCCTTTAAAACTTTTATTTTTTACAGAGGAATTAAAAAAAAGATTTAAATGCTCATAGGAGATATTC